TGGTTTTGTGTCTTTATGTGGTGGTTTTGTGTCTCTTTGTGGTGGTTTTGTGTCTCTATGTGGTGGTTTTGTGTCTCTTTGTGGTGGTTTTGTGTCTCTTTGTGGTGGTTTTGTGTCTCTTTGTGGTGGTTTTGTGTCTCTATGTGGTGGTTTTGTGTCTCTTTGTCATCGTTTGTGTCCCTGTGAGCATTTCAAGTCTCTCAGTCTATTTATTTTCGTGCTTCTTCTCTGTCTGTGGTCCTTTCTGTGTGTTTCTGTCTCTGTGGTTGTTTGTGTGTCTTTGTCGTCGTTTCTTTCTCTGCGGTTGTCGTGTGTCTCTGTGGTCGTCTTGCTGACTATCATCCTGATGTATTTCTGTCCTCTTGTCTAAAACACAGACGCGTGTCACCTCGTGTCCACATGGTGGCAGCGTTGGACAGCACACACTCTACTGTAAATGATAGATTTATAATAACAGGATCCTAAACACAGATGATGTTCACACTAATTCAATATAAAACACACAAAGGAGAGGTCACTGCTGCAAAAGCATCTGTGGTCTGTCAGAGCAGGAACACAGCAAAAACTGACAAAGTTAACTTCAGTCAGTGTTTGACTTCACCAAGACGCTGCAGACTTCAGCATCCTCACCCACAATACACATATAGCTGTACTATCCTGTAGGTTTATTGATCGTACGGTTAATTCCTCACATTCAGAACGTATTAAAGTTATTATTTCTGTGTAAACGCACCTTTAGAGCCCGGAGACAGCGCTGCCCTCTTGATGGCGTAGGTCTTCAGGCAGCGGTCGAACATGTCGTCCCACAGCTCCACAACGCCGTCCTTCCCTCCGGTCACGAAGCCCTGAACACAAACAGGTCAACTTATTGATCACACAGAGCTTCATCAATATCTAGAGACAGATGGATGAGGTTAGGAAACAGATCGGAGAGATGAAGTGAGTTAATACCAGAAAACAGAGCGCAACATCGGTGCAGGTAAAAATACGACTACGAGGAGACACACAACTACGACAAGAAGACACCAAACAACCAACAAGAAGACACAAAAGAACCAACAGGAGACACACAATAACCACAAACAGACAAAAATGACCACAAAGAAACACAAAACTACCACAAAGAGACAAACAATGACAACAAAAAGACACAAAATAACAAAAACACCCAAAACAACCACAAAGAGACATCACCGACCACCACATTATTATTCGCTCTCCTCCTGAAGCCCTGAAACTATTCGACTCATTGACGACACAGTCATCGATATCTGAGGATAAATCGTGGCGTCAGCGAGCAGATCATAGTGAACCAGAGCTGAGCACCGGTTCTGATTCCTCTCTCGTCGTCGTGTGCAGCCGTCCTTCGGTCTCGCCGTCGTCTCCGACAGGTTTCTGTTCTCGTCCTCCCACTCAGCCGGAGATCAGCTGCTGGATGCTTCTGATGTCAGGAGTCTGTTTTCTCTTCAGTGTCACAACAACATCCACACGCTTCAAACCAACAGCCTGACAGCAGCTTTAAAACAGCAGGAATCGCCCACATGACACCGTTTAACAGCCAGAAACTGTAAACACCGGACGGTCCTTGAACTACTCACCTGTGCTGCTCAGTTAAATTTACCAAATCTCTGCTTCAAATCCTGATACTTTAAAAAATGCCAAAAAAAATTAACCGTTAGCTCAAATCAAATTCTGTAAAAAGCTAAAAAATTCTCTGCTCACGGGTGCAACTGTAAAACCGTGACTGACGAAGCTGCAACCAACCGTCACGTGACAGAAATTCTGGGATTTTTCCAGTAAACTGAGCTGAACTGCAGCCAGTGTTCAAACCAGGAAGGACATGTGAGAGGAGAAAAAAGGTTGTTTTTAGTTAAAACTTCTCAAATGTGATGATTCGATGAGACTAATTGAGGCTTTTCTTTGTCAAATAAATGTTTAAACTCAAGATTTCACAACATAGAGCGAAAATAATTCCACAAAACACACAAACTATTACAAAACAACCACAAAGAGACACAAACGATTTCAAAGAAACACAAAACGACGACAAACAAGCAAAGACAACTGAAAAGAAACATAAAACGACGACAAAGAGACACGAAACAAGTAAAAGTGACACAAAAAATACAGAAAAAACACAAAACGACTAGAAAGAGACGTGCACGGGTACAAAAACACACAGAACAACCACAAAAAACCCACAAAATATTACAAACAACCCACACAAACACTAAACTAGAGACACAGAACGACCACAAACAATTACAAATAAACATAAAACAACTGCAAAGATGTGCACAACAAATACAACAAGATGCAAGTCGGCTGCAGACGGATGAAAACTGACCAGGAGGAATCAGAGCAACAACACAAAGACCAAAACAGCCAGAAGGACACACAAAGCAACTACATGTGTGTTTGTGGAGCAGAAAAACTGTGTTGTTGTGACAGTGAACAGATTCCAGTCAAACAGCTGGTTGAAGGTTTGCTCTGAACTGTCTCACTGATTCCTGCGTCCGTCCTCACATCTAAAACCAAATCTGATCCTCACAAAGACGGAACACAAACAGTGAGCCGACAGGTTGGTTCGTAGGAGGAGGATCGTCTGGAGGAGCGTCGCGCTGTTCAGCCGACACCTGTTCAGCCGACACCTGTTCGCCTCGATCACATGAAGCATGACGACAGCTGACACGATGCTGAGCTTCATCTAACTCGTAAAGGTGTTCAAGTCCCGTCTGCTCAAACTGTTCATCTTGAAAACTTAGAATGTAGAACAAAAGCTGTGAGAATGCCTCTGGACTCTCAGTCCAGCAGGTTTATTCACCTTCTACAGCTGCTTCTGCTGAACTCTAAAACGTCTCAAAGTTCACCAGATGTTCTGCTGCAGGAGTGAACAGGAGAGGCCTCATGCATCTGAGGAGCTGACCGCCCAGTGGATTAACGTTATTCCTGACGGCGATGTCCCCACAGCTATAGGAAAATCTTCAGCGTTAGCGCGTTGTCGGCTAGCGTTACCATTAGCTTTGATCCACAGGTGAGACCTCTGTAGAAACTGAGGGACATTCAGAGACGTTGGAGACTTTAATGTAAACCAGTAACAAGGACTGGGAGGGTTACTGTGTTTTCATGTCGCCTGTTAAGCTTTAGTGAAACCAAAACTTAGCTTCTGTTTATATCTGTTAGCTTCTCTCCCCCAGGAGAACCCACAGAGAACCCACGCTGCATGGGGAGAACATGGAGACTCCACGCAGGAAGATACCAGGACGCAAACTGGTGACCTTCTAGCTGCGAGGCGACGGTGCTAACCACTGAGCCACCCTGCAGCCTCCTGAACCTTCACTTCAGTTAAAGTGCAGAGACAAGAATGTAAAAACACAGATTACAGGGTTCACACCTGTCCTCCTGCTCCTCACCTTGTCCAGGGAGAACATGGCGAACACCGGCCCGTCGTGGGCCTTCACCGTTTTCAGCAGCAGCGGTTCCTTCCAGATGTAAACGTCTCCGGTGGCGGCGCCGGAAAACACCAGCGCCTCGCTGCGACCGTAACACACCGACATCATGGTCTCCGGCCGGCCGACGCTCCTGAACGCACCACGCCTGAAGGTCAGACCGCCACCTGGAGGCCAAGAGGGACGTCACATCAGCTACTTAACAGCAAAACCGTTGAATTCTGGGAAATAAACTTAACTTTTCTTGTTTTTTGTTTATTAAAGTAAAGCCTCACATTGTGGCTCCACAAAACTGAGACAACTTCCTCTAATTTAAAGCAGTGCTGACCGATAGATTGTGTTTTCATCGTCACAGTAATGCTACGAGTGAAGCAGAAACATTCCTAAAGATGCCTGAAATAAGATAAATAAGACAAGTAGCTATTGAGACCAAAACCGTTGTTGGTACCTGTCTGTAAACACGTTTATTTCTCCTGTAAAATTAGACGTTTTAACACTGAGTTCTATTGGGGACTGACTCGCTTTTGAAGCTGCCTCAAGTGGACATTTGTGGAACTGCAGTTTTCAGCACTTTTGTTTTTCAGCCTCAGAGGTGGCTGCTAGGCTAGGACGCTCTAAAAGACATTTTTATTGTCAATAAAACTTTTCTAGGTTCAGTAAAGTTTGTCAGCATTGAAAGTAGCAGAATTAGCTATTAGCAGGAGAACATCTGTGTAGATCCTCCGTTGTCCAGGTCGTGATAATCTTAAAGTAAAACACAACTGGACCTTAAAAAAGAAGTCCAGGAGAATCTTTTTGTCTTTGATTTCTAAGTCTATATAGACCAAAAAAGGTAAATATGTGTATAGTTTGTGTGTCCAACTGAATCAGACACACGTTGACCCAAACTGCAGCATTCTGGCAAACCACCATAAATAACTGTTGTTTTTCTTCCAGTTGCGACTCTTAACGTCAAACCAAAGGTCTAAATGTCAAAACATTTTATAAATGCTAGACGTAGTTTTTTCTTTGTGGTTTGTGCAGCAGCAGCAGCAAAAGGTCAGCAAAGGACGAACTGGTGGAGAGAAAGAACCTCAGATGCCAGAAAACAGGAAGTCCCGCCTGCTGCTGTACCTGCGTGCTGCCAGAACTTGATGTGTTTGATTCCCACAGTGACCAGTTTGTCCATCAGGAGGGGGTTACACTTCACCACAAACATCTTCTCCTTGTGACCCCTGAAGCAGGAGAGACACAGTTACAGCATCGGCAGGAAAAACACATGACATGGGTCCCAAATGATGGTGTGTTCATATGGAAGAAGGTAAATGTTAAATTCTGATCACTTAAAGTGTTTATGCTGCATTCATGCATGAACCTCTGAACCCTAAAACCCTCATCTTTAAAAATATATCACCAAAAAACACCATTTATCAGAGCAAGACAATATACAAACAGAAAGAATTGTTGGATTTTTAACCTTTTAAGGGTAATAAAATCCCTTTAATCTACAAATTTGCTCCGACATTGCTTGGAGTTACAGTGTAGATCACGTTAATGCTGTAGCTGGTGAAGGTGGAGCTCATTTTAACTACTTCATGGCAGAATCTCAGGAATCATAGATGTCATGTTTTGTGTTACTAATCTGTAGAGAAATGAAAGCCGTGGGATAAAAAAAATATAATATTTAAATCTGAAAGTGTCCAGAGACAAAGCATAAAGCAGCAGAAGATGGGATTCAAGTTCAAGCACCTCTAAACTGAATAAAACACGACCTCGTACTTTTTAAATTGGGATTTGTCGTGTGAAGAAGTTCAGGGTTCAGGCTGTTATGTGTCGCGTCAGGAAGTCACTGAAATGGCAGCTTTCAAAAACAGCATAAAAGGTTAATTAAAAAAACACTGAGAGCAGGCGAAGGTGAACCAGAACATCCAGAACAGTTCAGAAAACATGAAGAACAAACTGATGCAGGAAACCAGCGAGCTGGGTTTGTGAACAGCTGATCTGTTATAGTCCTCAGTAGATCTTCTGATGGGCCTTTAGTCAAAGCAGCAGTTCTAACAGCAGTACAGCAGTAGTACTAGTTGTAGTATTAGCTGTAGTACTGGTTGTAGTATTAGTTGTAGTATTAGTTGTAGTACTAGTTGTAGTACTAGTTGTAGTATTTGCAGTAGTATTTTCAGTACCGGGCAGTAGCGAGCTTCTCTCCTCTCTTCCAGTCCCAGACGACAATCGAATGTCCGTCATCGATTCCCACAGAAACCAAACTTTTCCCATCAGCTGTAAACAAACACAAAGCGTTTTATAATCAACAGGTTTTACTTTCTAACATAAAAAAAACATTGAAACAATCTAAATGCAAAGTGTGTGCAGTTATTTTAATGAAACTGATGAACTATGTTGATAATTGTTTAATTGGTTTGAGTGACTCTCACCAAAGTGACAAAGTTCACACAGGCTAACTTAGCTTGTTTAGGCTAACGTAGCTCATATTGTGAGCCTGTTGCTGCTTATAACATTAGCATGCTATCAAAATGACCACTCAGTGTTTCATCCTTTGATTCCAGCTTCTTAAATGTGAATAATTTCTGGTTTTGCAAAGCTCAAAAGTTTTATAAAGTGTTAAGGTTCACAAAAGCTAGTTTAGCTTGTTTTGGCTAACTTGCCTGGTGTAGGCTAATGTAGCATTAGCTTATAATGCGAGCTGGGTGCTGCTGACAACCTCAGACCATTTACTGTGACTTTTATGAAGAAAAGACATTTAAATTCTGTGACTCCAGATACATAAATTTAATTTTTTCTGATTTTACAAAGTTCCAACAGGCTAGCTTGTTTAGGTTAATGTAGAGAAAGCTAATAACGTGAGCTGGGTGCTGCTGATAACATTAGCATGCTATCAACATTATCGTTCAGTGTCTACATGTCTATACGCTCTGATTCCAGCTTCTTAAATGTGAATATTTTCTGATTTCACAAAGTTCATGCGGTCACAAGGTTCACAAAGGCTACCTTAGCTTGTTTAGGCTAACTTAGCTCGTTTAGGCTAACTTAGAAATATCTCATAATGTGAGCTGGGTGCTATTGTGTGTATGATTGATTATTCTAATTAATTGTCAACTAATCCGTTTGAGTGACTTTTTTATGGGAAAAAAAGTCTAAATTCTGTTTTTCCAGTTTCTTAAATGTGAATATTTTCTGGTTTCTTTCCTCCCTTATCACAGCAAACTGAACATCATCACTGTCATCGTGGGATGTGGGGAACACTGATCGACAATAACTAATCAGTTAATCAAGGAAATGATCGACAGATTCATAATGAATGAAAAATAATCATTAGAAACATGACCCACCTTAAAAATGTTGATTGTTTTCTAATCTATAGGTACTATATTGTTTTAAAAACCTGTAACATCTATTTTATTACTTAAAGTTCCCTCCCAGGATTTTTCAAAATAAAAGAGTTGGTGTTGAAATACAGTCATTTCATTGGTTGGTTGAGCATCGTCAAACTTCACTGGTGTTGGTCCTGACTACTGAAGTTCTGGTGTGGTGTGATTCATGTCCTGGTTTTCTGGTACCTGAGAAGTCCAGCGCACACACTCCCCTCTGATGAAACCCCTTCAGCAACGACAGACACTTGAGAGTCTGGATGTCCCACACATGGATGGCCGGATCCCTGCCCACCTGAAAACACAACACGTACATCAACAAACCGTCCAGCCTGCTGCACATTAAAGCCGTTCTGTAGCTTCTGATCCCGTTTCTGAGTCGCTTCGGTGTTGTTTTCCTCAGCAACGTCCCGGTTACAGACCTATGAACACCCACAGATACGACGAGGCTGCAGTCAGCCAGCATTTCGTTCTTCTGTGGAGTTTACTGCACGACAGACGTTTGTTCACAGATTGGAGCCTCGAAGGCAGCAACGTGAGCTCCATGCATGAACACATTAGTGCGCTTTTACAGCCCGACAACAAGAATAAAACAACAATTAGAGTGACGGTCGCCGGGCGCAAGAGGCAGGCAGAAAGTGAAACTGTTCAGATTGAGAAAGAGCAGTGAAAATGTCCTGAACACTGTCTCCAATCAGACAACATCCTGTGTTAGAGCTGCACCGTATGACTGGGTCACTACGACACATGGGTCCAAGTGGAGGCAGCAGTTCATTACTGTATGTAATCTATAGGACAGGATGAGATAATCCTCTACTGACTCCACCGCAGATACACTGTACAGCAGCAAAGGCGACTGGAACATCAGTAAAAACATAAAAACATCAAAAACCAAGAAATATACACGTCATGACGCTGCCACCGCCGTGCTTCATCATGATGCTGCCACCTCCGTGCTTCATCATGATGCTGCCACCGCCGTGCTTCATCATGATGCTGCCACCGCTGTGCTTCATCATGATGCTGCCACCGCCGTGCTTCATCATGATGCTGCCACC